AAACTAATGGGAAGGGCCTGGGAGAGATAATGTCACAGCAGTCTATCTACTACAGCTGCTAGGAAAATGATAGGATGGAAAATGAGGACCTTCCAAACTAGGGATGCCAAGCCCATGATGATTCTCTTCAATTTGCTTGTTCTCTCTAGGCTGGAATATTGCTGTATACTAATGGCCCCCTTTCAATGCAGGTGAAATTGGAGACCTGGAGAATATAGAGAGAACTCTCATGGCATGTATAAGTATGATACAGCACCTAAGTAACTTATGTTGCCTGTGAGACCAAAGTAAGGTGCATTGTTCAAATATACACTCATTGTTTACAACACAATAACTGAACAAACATTATCACTATTAGATTGTGTACACAACTTGTTTACACAAATATTACAAAGCATTGTTTATTGCTACTGTTCCATAATATATATACATATGTACAGTCACTGAACACTTTTCTAGAACTGCTGCAGCTTGTGGAACTCTTTGAAACATGGGTATATGCAGAGTGGTACTTGACACTCCTCACATATAAAACGAATGTATCTGCGTGTTTGTGGGCGTTTTGTGGCATGTCCACATAAAAAACCATCTCTTCTGAGCACTTTTCTTGAAAGAAGTAGGAGGCAGTTGTATGGGGCAGTGATCACCAGGCCTCAAACAAGATGGCGTGTGTTGCTAATTTTGTGGGCGCTGGTCTATTGCAGGTGTTGCTCCTTGGTACTTGGCGATAATTTGTCTGATGACTGACAAACAAAATTCACCATATTTTGGTTTGCTGTTGGTCCTCAACTTGTATATGTTATAAGCATTTAGCATGGAAATATCAAGAAGATGGAAAAAAAGTTTCATATACCACTTATAACTCTTGCATACACAATCAGCAAACCTAATCTGCATGTCACATTTGTCCACTAAGCGCATATTGAGGTTGTGTGTATGTGTAAGTGCTCTAAGTAGTTCACTATGTCTCAAGACTCGACTAGACTTAACCAGTGCATAAGCTAACTTCTTGACCAACCTGGCAATCAGAACAGCTTGCTTGAACAATAAAACGACTGATAAGCCGAACAACAATATTACAAGCAACAGCGACACAGAATCAGGAACAAGGAGATAATATAACGACACTAAGTAGGGACCATCTGCAGATCCTCCACAAAAGTCACAAAACTCCCATACTACTGAATCTAAGCTCAGCATTAGAAAATCCCCGACTGTGACAGTACACAGATATTAGTACAAATTAGGTCAGAAGCTACAGCTCAGGACCTGAGTTTCTCAGAGTGTTTATGAGACACACAACCTCAGTACAATGTCAAAAATCACCAAGTCTAGGCTATGTTCTGTGAGCAGAGTTACATAGAACCAACAGCCAGAAAGCAACAGAGACGATCTTCCAACAAGGGGCCCGCAATGGAGAACTGGAGAGGGACCTCTTGTTAGAAGCAACGTCAAACAGACAATAGCTAGCGCAGGCCAGCTAGACTCTCTCTCCAGGTGAGGTGTGATCACCCCACCCTGATGACGTGACTCTCCATGGACTGCTGCTGCCCAGCAACAAAGAAGCCGGCAGCATAACGAGCGGAGAGAAAATTACAGTAGTTAGACAATGCTGTCAGCTACTTAACACTTGAACTATGAGCACTAAATAATATGTAAATGTTACATCCTACCTAATAATATAACTAAGTCAAATAATAATATAAAGCAATATATTTACGATTTAGCTAATATTGCAAATATAAGGAATATAAAATTATATGAACAAATAATATACATTATATACATTGTGACCCATTCAGGGGTCGCAATAAGCAGTGAAAGTGATAGTGATTTCAAAGCTATTGAAAGTAGTTCTAGTTGTGACAGTGAGGGTGAATATTCCCCAGTGAAGCGGCAGTATATTCGACGTAGCATGCGATCTGGTAGTGTGTCATATGCTGTTCCAAGGGGAATGAGTAAATCTCAGAGCACATCCCGTGGCCCTACACCACGACCTGATAGTGAAGATGACAATATTGTTACGATGGGTATCAATGATGTGAGTGAGGCAGCAGGTGGTGGTGGTGATAGTGATGGTGGCATGAGTCATGTGGCACCAGCAGTGGGCCACGCTACTACCTACGCTGCTGACTCTGCACAACTACAACCAGCCTCACCCAACCCCACACTCCCACAACCTGCACACCCACAACCACGTTTCAATATCCAGAACCCACCAGCAGACCGCATCTGGGATTGGCAGGAAGGTGACTAGTTTGTTCCCAGTCCCCATGACTGATGAAACGCAAAGTGGAATACGGCCATCGTGTACACTTGGGAACAATGCTACTGAACTGGAATGCTTTCAGTTATTCTTCGGTGAACCCCCTGATGGACATTATTGTCAGGGAAACCAACACATACTATGAGTACACCATGGCAAATACAATTCTCTCACCATGATCACGGCTACACCAGTGGAAGGACACAACTGTGGCAGAGATGTACCTGTTTTTTGCCACAATAATGCTTATGCCACATGTGTATAAGCACACTGTCACCACATACTGGGCAACATAACGCCTGATTTCAACCCCAGGTTTCAGTGACATTATAGGTGAATCGTTTTTTGATACTGTTACGTATGTTACACTTTTCAGACAACACAAGGCCTGACAGAAGCGACAGGTTATATAAGATTAGAAATGTGTATATGTACCTGAAACAAAAGTGTTACATGTATTTTTATCCCTTCAGGAAGCTTGTTAGTGACTTTGATTTTATTCAAAGGAAGACTCTCATTCAAGCAATACATACCAAGCAAGAGGAAACGCTTTGGTATAAAGTTATTCGTACTGTGTGATTGCAAAAGTGGTCTCGTTTTGGATATCATTGTGTACACTGGCAGTAATACATTGAGAGATACCAGGAAGTTATTGGGCATCTCTGGTGATGTGGTTTGAACAATGAAGGAACCATATCTTGGTAAAGGGCATATATTATATACTGATAACTGGTACACAAGCCCCATACTCAGTGATTTCTTGCGAGTGAACCTGACAGACGTGTGTGGCACAGTGCATGGTAATCGTAAACATATGCCAAGGTTCGACGCTGGCACTCGCAGAGGTGAGGTGCAGGCCTTTGCTGCCAGTGACATCATGGCATTTCGGTGGCACGACAAACGTGATGTCACATTGTTGACATCAGTTCACCGAAACGAAATGGCACACACTGGCAGGCACAATTGAGAGACCAATGAACCCATTCTAAAACCTGCAGCTGTCATGGACTACAACCTCAATATGCGCTTAGTGGACAAATGTGACATGCAGATTAGGTTTGCTGATTGTGTATGCAAGAGTTATAAGTGGTATATGAAACTTTTTTTCCATCTTCTTGATATTTCCATGCTAAATGCTTATAACATATACAAGTTGAGGACCAACAGCAAACCAAAATATGGTGAATTTTGTTTGTCAGTCATCAGACAAATTATCGCCAAGTACCAAGGAGCAACACCTGCAATAGACCAGCGCCCACAAAATTAGCAACACACGCCATCTTGTTTGAGGCCTGGTGATCACTGCCCCATACAACTGCCTCCTACTTCTTTCAAGAAAAGTGCTCAGAAGAGATGGTTTTTTATGTGGACATGCCACAAAACGCCCACAAACACGCAGATACATTCGTTTTATATGTGAGGAGTGTCAAGTACCACTCTGCATATACCCATGTTTCAAAGAGTTCCACAAGCTGCAGCAGTTCTAGAAAAGTGTTCAGTGACTGTACATATGTATATATATTATGGAACAGTAGCAATAAACAATGCTTTGTAATATTTGTGTAAACAAGTTGTGTACACAATCTAATAGTGATAATGTTTGTTCAGTTATTGTGTTGTAAACAATGAGTGTATATTTGAACAATGCACCTTACTTTGGTCTCACAGGCAACATAAGTTACTTAGGTGCTGTATCATACTTATACATGCCATGAGAGTTCTCTCTATATTCTCCAGGTCTCCAATTTCACCTGCATTGAAAGGGGGCCATTAGTATACAGCAATATTCCAGCCTAGAGAGAACAAGCAAATTGAAGAGAATCATCATGGGCTTGGCATCCCTAGTTTAGAAGGTCCTCATTTTCCATCCTATCATTTTCCTAGCAGCTGTAGTAGATAGACTGCTGTGACATTATCTCTCCCAGGCCCTTCCCATTAGTTTTTCACTCTATTGTGTGCTTGGAATTTGTTTTATACTCTGATACAGTTTTAACTTCCTCGAGTTTTCTATATTGGAATAATTGAAATATGTCTTCATTGAACTTCATGTTGTTTTCTGCAGCCTATTTAAAGATTTGCTTTATGTCCACTTGGAGACTTGCAGTCTCTTTCATGGATGACACTTTCATGCCAGTTTGGATATCAGTGACAAAGAAAGACATGGTGTTGTGGCTTACATCCCTGTCTGTCAGATATGAGGATGAGGAGCAGGACAGGAGCGAGTACTGTGCTTTGTGGAACAGGGCTTTTCACTGTAGCCGTCTCTGATTTTACTCTGTTTACTATTACTCTTTGTGTTCCATTTGTTAGGAAGTTATAGATACATCTAATTTGAGGGCTCAGAATGAATCTCTATGTTCTACAAGTTACACAGTATGTACTGGGATCTACTGGGCTCACTTATGTAAATATCTTATATGCACCATAAGTTAGGAATGTATCTATTGCATAGAAGGAGGAGACCTGTACTGTAATGATAATTCTGTAATATTCTAGTACAGTTTCTGAATGTTACATGTGATACTGTATAACATCAGTGCATGGGATATTCTGGAAAGATGCTCCCTCTAACTAGATTTCTAGGGTACCAAGTTTTACATATTCTGGCTATGTAATAATGTTTACAAAGGCTATAAATCATTGCATGTTTACTATAATTACAGAACCTCTAATTTAAATTAAGAACTAAGGAAAGCCAAAAAATGTATAAACATGGAGAAGTAATCTGTCTCACCTTTAATCATAAGGTAAAAGGATCCGCCTATCATGATGAAGAACTGCAGCGTGTCCGTGTAGATGACAGCTGTAAGTCCTCCTAGCATGGTGCAAAGGGCTGTCAATATTAAGAGACCAATGGTGGAGAAGTATATATTGTTCACTCTTAGTGCCTGCTGGATGAAGACAGCACCTGCATACAAGTTCACCTGAGGACAAGCATAAAGGTTTATTTTTAAATTTCTGCATGCATTAAAGCACCCACTAGCATTAAAGCACCCTTCAAGAGGGTGCTTTAATGCTAGTGGGTGGAATTTGAGTGGAATTTGAGTCTACAGTCAAGGTGGAGACCTAGAAATTTGCCCTCTGTGTGTCTTGAAATGGGTGAACCATTTGTCACTATGTTTAGCTGTACATTTGAAGCTCTGTTTCCAAATAGCATGAAGTATGTTTTGTCTATATAGAGAGTAAGTTTGTTGCTAGTCATCCAAGTAGATATTTTTAGTAGTCTGTCATTTACAGTGTCTGTTAGTATGGCTGGGTTTGGGTGAGAGAAGACATAAGTAGTGCATATGCAAATAAAATGGGTTTAAGGAACGTTGATGGATTTGGGAGGTCATTGATGTAAATGAGAAAGAGAAGTGGGCCAAGGATAACAACCTTGTGATACTCCATCAAGAACAGGTTGTATAGTGGAGTTAGCCCCATTTGTATATACATACTGGTTTCTATTTCTAAGATAAGATTTTAGGTAATCGAGAGAGAGTCTTCTGACCCCGTAATATTCGAGTTTTAGGTGAAATAGGTCGTGGTCAACTGTGTCAAATGCTTTTCATAGGTCTATGAAAAGTCCCAGAGGAATTTTATTTTTTCGGTGCCAAATATATCAGTTCAAGTATACGTAGTATGTATAATTGTGTCATTAGTACTTTTTTTCAGTCTAATGTAAACAAACCGGGTGGGGCATGGTGACTGTATTAGAAAGTCAGGTGGGGGAGCTGTATAGTGAGTTTTGGTCTTAATTTGAAATATCCATATTAGCGGAACGCCGTAAGGCAGGGACCTACTGTAATTAAAATTCACCGCTCCATAACCTGTGTCTAGTTTTAGGTACTCTGTAAGCATTAGGATTAGTCTGCCCGAAATGCTCATGTATGTTTGTGGCATTCTTTGTGCTTAACAATATTTTACTACATGTAAACTACACATTGTATACTAAGCAAAGAAATATATTTCCGAATTTGAATTCTGAACACAGTTTAGGAGGTAGGGTAAATAATCAGTGTACAGAGGAAGGTGGTGAGCTTGGTGTAATGATGAAGGATAAAGTAAATTAAACTCTGTTATCAATGACATTATCTGATGGGTGATAAATATTAGTAAATTGTGAAATGTACTTTGGAAAAATGTACAGCATAATATGTGTTATATATATCACCAAGGTCTTCTTGTCCAAGTTGTTAATGTTTCCAATAAAATGCTGTATAATTGTCTCTACTTACTATTTCTTCCATGCATATGCAAACCCAGAGTGCATAACAATAAGACCACTGAAACATTTAGACTGTGCAGTAAAATATAAGTGCATGCATTTTGTACTGGATATATGAGTTACTATATGAAGAAACTGTAATCTAAGAGTCCACTAATACAGATACAAGTTTATTTCAACATGATACAATATTTATACATAAATGGGTGATACTGAAGTGCATGTTGGAAGCTCATGTTTCTGGGAACTACATCTGATGAACCACTAAAGAGAATTTGTAAATTCTCCTCATGAATACTGTTAGCCAATCATTTCTTTGAGTGCATGTTTATTACAGGATCATTGTCTTCATTTCTGGAATAACTACAATTTGTAGGTCAAGGTTCTCTTAAGTGACCCACCTAAATATACAATCAGTTCTTCTATCTAAGCATGTACGTACTTCTATTTAACCCCTCCCGATACTGAGTTCGACATTCCTACAACAAACAGATTTAGATTATCTCCATTCTATACACTTACAAAATATATAATTTGTAAATACTACAGCTACACTTTTTCTTTATTGAATTTATAGGTCAAATTTAATTACAATGGTACCCCAAGTTTCAGTGCTTTTGTATGTGTATTTTTGGGGGTCTGAAACAGACTAACCTAATTTACATTATTCCTTATGGGAACAAATTCGTCCAATATCAGCACTTGAACAGCCTTCTGGAGCAAATTAAGTTCAAAACTTGGGGTACCACTGTATCAGATATCCCCAAAACCACATATAGTGGTTTTGAGAATTGTTTTCAAGGTTTTTCAGCCACAACCAAAGAATGCCTCTTCTGATCAGCCTCAAACATTCAACACAGGTGGACATTTGAATACTGGTGTACTTTGATTTACCCCTTTGACTGTTTTGGTCGTATATATACGTCTTACGAGCCACCATTTTTGAGGCTTCAAATCAAGCAGGAGAAAGCTGGGAGGCCCACATCTGAGAGAATGGGTCTGTGTGGTCAGTGTGCACCATATAAAAAAATCCTGCAGCACGCAGTGCATAATGAGAAAAAAAAAAAACGTTTTTTTTAATTAAAATGCCGACTTTGTGGTCTATTTTTGTATAGTATTTATGGTTGTATTCACGTTTTCTTGGTCTCATTTGATAGAATGGGAAACATCTTGTAGAAATAGAGGTGATTTTGATTGGTTTTACTATGAAAAGAACCTTGAAATGGAGCTCAAAGTAGGGGAAATGTTTGATTTTTGCCGATGTTCAAAAGTAAACAAATGATGTCATTGTCCAATAAATGTCCAACTAGCCATTCTAATATGCAGTCATGAATGGGTTGGCATTATTTATACAATTATTACAATATTGCAGTAGTCTGCATAACAGTAAATCCTATGTTTTGTTTGAATAAAAATTCAAAATAGAAAGCAAGAGTAATATCAGAGGGGCCTGGAGACATGACTGATGAACAAAGAAAATGTTATTTTAGAACCAGGAATGTCTGCATTGTTCATTCTGGACCCTATTTTGAAATTGTCATATTTTTTAATTTTTGTGAAATTGGCAAAATTGCAAATTTCTGACCACGTTATTGGGTAGTTGAAATCTGTAAATGGGCAGTTTCTTGTACTCAATCGATAGAAAAAGTGGAGTTCTAAAGAAATAGCTATGAGTTTGGTCAACTGGAACAGTGGAATTAGCTGAAAATAGGGCTCAGTGGGCGAAATCGCCGATTCGTAAATATCGCCGAGGTCTCTAACTTCGCGAGAGCGTGATTCCATTAGTTTTCCATCAAATTTTGTTCTTTTGGTGTCATTGCAATCGGGAAAACATTCTCTATCATTTCATAAGATTTTTTTTTTTTTTTTTTTTTTTTTTTAAATTTTGCGACACCAGGAGACACCTCAGGATTTGGGGATGTGACAGTCAAGGGGTTAAACTAAACAGATGAGAGAGACTGTCTGGTAAATCCAAATGTGGACTGTCTAGTAAATCCAAATGAGATCATTTTGCCGTTATTGTAACAATAACGTACATTTTGTAACTGATGGACTTCATCAATTGTTTCTGAAATCAATTACCCAGCTAATTATAACAATAACTGAGAATTCTGTAAACAATGGACTTTGTCCTTTTGACCATTGTTTCAAAATCAATCTAGCCAGCAATGTCTTAATCAAAAAAAAAAAAAAAAAAAAAATTAACCGAGGCCTGTTAAATCAAGGTTTTAAAGTACACAGTTAGAGTAGTATGCAGATTTGGGATAAGGCCCTCATGTATCTTCCATGTATATACAGTGGACCCCTGATTTACGATGACCTCAAATTACGATAAAACCGACATACAATGATTGTCAGCGTAAAAATTTGACCCTGACCTACGTTGAAAAACTCAACTTGCATCATTCGTCCCATACGCATCCAACATCTGGCTGGCCTGAGCGCGCCTCAGCTGGTCTGCCTTCAGTTAGTGTGCCAATGTTTACAAGCCAGTGCGGTTGCTGCCATGCATACATTCAGAGCATTTTGTATTATTCCAGTGTTTTTAGTGCTTGTAACTTTTAAATAAGCCACCATGGGGCCAAAGAAAGCTTCTAGCATCAACCCTGTGGTAAAAAGGGTGAAAATTACTATTGAAATGAAGAAAGAGATAATTAATAAGTTTGAAAGTGGAGTGCGTGCCTCTGAGCTGGCCAGGTTGTATAACAAACCCCAGTCTACCATCACTACTATCCTGGCCAACAAAAAGGCAATCAAGGAAGCTTTTGTTGCGAAAGGTGCAAGTATCTTTATGAAACACAGATTGTAAGTACTCGAAGATGCTGAGAGACTGTTATTGGTGTGGATAAATGAAAAACAGATATCAGGAGATAGCATCTCTCAAGCGATCATATGTGAAAAGGCAAAGCAGTTGCATAATGATTTAATTAAAAAAATGCCTGCAACTAATGGTGATGTGAGTGAATTTAAGGCCAGCAAATGTTGGTTTGAGAGATTTAACCCTTTCAGGGTCTGTCCCATAGATCTACGGCTTCACGTTCAGGGTCCAAACCGTAGATCTACGTCAAACTTCTAGTGGCATCAAATTTAGTGCAAAAATGCTCATAGGCCTACATGTGAGAGAATGGGTTTGTGTGGTGGGTGTGCGTCGTAAACAAAAATTCTAGGCGCCCACGTAGCATTGTGGGAACACCGGCTCAGTTACCTTTGTTGACCATGCCTCATCGCAAGGCAGCTCTCACTCCAAGGAAAATTGGGACTCTCCTCTTCCTATCTGATAGTTCTGACTCTGATGGAAGTGGAAATGAAGATGAATTCTTTGGCTTTGATCAGTTAGTGACCGAAAGGAATGACCAGGATATCGATAATAGCGCAGAAAACCCTGACGATCCTCAACCTTCTACCTCTGGTGTGGGCACTCCTCAGTCACGGTCAGTTGTACCTCGTCGCAAGAGAAAACTATTATTTTCACGTGGCCAGGCCTCTGACTTCAGTAATGATGATGATAGTGACGTGGATTGTGATTTTATTGCTCTTGACGATCATTCGAGTAGTGATAGTGAGGAAACATATTCACCAGTGAAGCGTCGGTATGTACGCCGCCGCATGTGCTCGGGTAGTGTATCCTATGCAGTGCCCAGGGGACAGAGTACATCCTAGAGTACATCCCATGGCCCTACACCAGGAATAGACAGTGAAAGTGAGGATGATGTGGCT